TTAAAATCACGGGAAAATGAAACAGCGGTACATAGCTTTAGTCTTTATTCAAGACATCTTCAGAGGCAACTAGATTACATGGACAGAGAGGCAAATATACAGGGTGACCTAAAACATGAGGTCAGGTCATAATGATGACATCCACTAATCCCACACCAACACAACCGTAGGAGCTTAAGAAGGGTGGTGGCGTGACTAGACAGGTCAGGTCAGAAAAAGGACCCCAAAATAACTGTCATACATCAAGAATAAAAGGTTTTCAAAGCAGTTTTAACCTTGGGCCACTGACAAATAAATTTATGTAACATATTATCAGTTTTGAACTGACCATCACTAAGGTTTATTGATTTTAATTCCTTAATCAAACTAGCTTCAACCGAAGTCTTTCTGTGACACAAGATGATTTGAATATCTAAGCTTTTTCCCAAGCAATGGGGTGATTATTATTCTAACATGAACGAACAAGGCACCTTTCAGATGCAGTTCTGATATTATACTTATGTTGTTTGTTTCACAGTGCAGTGTTTTTCCTGTCTGACTCACATAATTACAATTACATTGGCTACATGGATACTATCACTACTTCCATTTACATTCAAACTTGGGCTATTCTTATTAACATATTGGTAATGGTTGAGTCATACTTGAAAACAACATTAATATTTAGAAGCTTGAGGACGAACTAAAGGGACAAATTCATCACGATAGGGCAGAGTCAAAATATTCTTATGTAGGAACTTGTCTGGTTACAGAGGAATGAAAGGATTTTTAGCCCTTTTAAAGCAACGATCAACAAACACAGAAGGGTACCCAGTTTGTGCAATAGAACTAATGTGTTTAAATTAAATTAGATAATAAATTCAGAGTCACAAATACCTGAACATCGAGGGAACATAGCAGAAAAACTGACATTTGGTAGACTCAAGGTGATTGGATAAAAAGTAAATGAAACTGTCTACCTGTGTGGGCTTTCTATATACCTTAAATTTATAGTTTGGCCATTTCTCATGATAAGCATATCAAGAAATGGAAGATTCACTTATTTCTCTTTCAATTTTGAATGTGATACTAGGGACAATATTATTAAGCTTGTCTAAAAATTCCAAAGGGTCACTGTTTTTAGGCCAAAGACAAAGAACATCATACATATCTATACCATGTAATCTCAGTTGCCTCTGAAGATGTCTTGAATAAAGACGAAAGCTAAGGTACTCCGTTGTTTTCATTTTCGTGTGATTTTATCAAGATATATATATATATATATATATATATATATATATATATATATATATATATATATATATATATATATATATATATATATATATATATATATATATATATATATATATATATATATATATATATATATATATATATATATATATATATATATATATATATATATATATATATATATATATATATATATATATATATATATATATATATATATATATATATATATATATATATATATATATATATATATATATATATATATATATATATATATATATATATATATATATACACTCACAGTCATCACGCTGGTTGAACCGAGCGTCCACGTCGCCTCGTCTGTACCCCAAAACACACACACAACACTTCTGTGACGCCTGCTGGACCACCTCCACAACCCCTGGCGGAGACCAATCCTCCCCATACTGGCCAGATATTATGTGTTAAAGGAATACCTTCCTTAGGCTTTAGTAAGCCCCTTTATATCATTTATTTATACAGTCATCCCGGTTATCGCGTTTTCGATATCATGCCTCCATCAAAATCTGCACACCTCCGTTATAGCGCATTTTCCAGGCGAGAATTTGGTTTATCCGTTTGCCTCCAGGTGTAACGTTAACCTACATCTATTAAGGATAAAATCTTTCACCTACAAATTGACAATAACACATTTGCTGTAATCAGACATATCTAGTTGCCTCCAATTGCAACCCCAGTTGCAATTGGGGTTGTCAAATTCTGTGTCATTACTAAGAAATAACGGTCTCTGGTGCACTCTAAGATTGAGAGAAAACGAAGGACTCAGGCATCCTGGAAGGAAAGAAACGGACTCCTATGATGGGGACTCAAATAAAGAAAGACATAACTACATGTTTTGTGGACTACAGTATTAAGCTGCACTTTTCATCACTTTGTAATAAACCTAGCCATGCCTATGTGTGTTTATGATATTTACCATAACATTATATATATATACTTAGTGGGTCTAAATGGTCGTGAAATGGGAAACTTGGGGTTGGGTCTTGGGTGCCTGGAACCAATTAGAATAAATCCCATAGGCTCTGTACTTTCGTTATCGCGTTTTTCGTTATCATGCACTCGGCGGGTCCCAATTAGGTATGTCCGGGATGACTGTACTGTACTTTATATGCTTATGACACTTGCCAGTTGCTTCTGGTGTTATGGTACAGGTACCTAGTGACAGCACTAGGATCCTGCTTCCTCTATCAAAAAACAATTGAAAATTGAAATTGAAAAAAAAAAAAAAAAAAAAAAAAAATCAAATAATGGGACGTAGCGAACATAAGTAGTCCTAGAGCGGAAGCAGTCACGTTTGCATCACGTATGCATCGCGTATTCTTATAGATTGTGCTGCCAGGCGTATTATGTTATTTTATTAGCCTTCCTCACCTCTGTGTTTCATTAGCTGTGTACATTATCTAGTGAATTTAGTCAATATTGTACAGTACAAGTACACTGTAATACAGTGGTCCCTTGGTTAACAATGGACCTAAGTGCAAACCTGTACTGTACATGTACTAAATGATTATGGTACTAAAATTGTTATGTCTATTGCAAATATAGCTTGTTTATATTAAAATTAATCAATATCTTACAAGAATCCCAGCAATGTAAGTTATATTCACCCAGGTCGTTTGGGTGGCAAATTATGAGAAGAGCTTAGTCACTCTTCAGTAATGATAAATAAACACGCAGGCCATCAGCGCCAACTGTCAAATTATATTGCCTCAACCCTACCCCCCCTCTCGCTTTCCCCCATCTGCCCAAACCAGGGTTTTAGGCCTTAAGTTTTTCATATAATATCTCAGACTATAGGAGAATATAACTTGCATTGCTGATATCCTTGCAAGACAGAGATTAATTTGAATATAAACGTCATATATTTTGCTCAAGAGATAAAAATTGTAGTACATTAGTGTACAGTACTGTAGTACATTTTATAAAATAAAGTTTTTCAGCTGTATTTTTGGGTAGATTTACATAAATTTCTTCATTTATTTTCATCCATTTACATGCACACACCATACTAAGAGAAACGTAAATGAAATAAATGACCTTAGTGCAAAGCTGGAGTGCACATGTACTAATTTGATTATGGTGCTAAAATTGTTATGTCTAGTGCAAAGTATAGCATATTTATATTCAAATTAATCAGTATGTTACAAGAATCCCAGCAATGCAAATTATATTCACCCAGGTCATTTCACTGGCTTTTTATAAGAGAAGATTAGTCACTTAAGAACTGATAAATATACACACGTTAGACCTGGGCCTGTGCCAACTGTCAAACGTACTACCTCCCCTCCCGCTCCCCTCCCCCCACGCTCGCTCCCTCCCTCCCTCCCTCTCCCCAGCATTGCTGGAATCCTTGTAAGACAGTGAATAATTTTAATATAAACATCATGTATTTTGCACAAGAGATAAAAATTAATCACCTGTATCACATTACAGTAGTGATTTTAGAGTAAGAATGTATATGTACGTATATAGTATTCTACATACACGCAAGTATAGAGACAAAGTTTATGTGATGATCGGACAACGTCCATTTCGGTTAACGTCACGTTTCCAAGAACGTATCTAGGTCGTTCGTTAACCAAAACCATTGTTTCAATGGGATTTTGGGTAATTGGTTCCAGCTCACCGAAAATTACATACAAGGTAAAAAAAAAATGCAGTAAAGGACACTTACTTTGAGGTGTGTATGTAGAAGGCTCCTGGTTGATGATGAAGGGAGTTAGAAGTGGGGGTGGAGGAGAAGGGAGAAGAGAAGGAAGTGGGGGTGGAAGAGAAATCACCCATGCTTGATGCTGCCATTTCACCCATAAAATTTTAAGTGCACTAGGTGTAATTCAAGATTATTTTCTTTAAATCAACACTGCACTGCACTATATATTGTCAATATGTTAAATAAATTTCAGAATGACCAATAATTGTACTGTAAAAATGTAAAAATACTCTGTGTTCAAGAGACCCACAAGCAAGATGTTTCCTCCACTGAACAGAGATACAAACTGAGGCCTTGGTGGGTGAGTGAAGTGGCTGATGGGCGTACCAAAAACTAGTTCCCTGTACTGCAATTATGTTATATAAGTGTTAAAATGACTAAAAAAAATTAATATAAAACTTGGAAAATTATTGAATAGTACAACCTTCTTGATATTTACTCCAATTTTAACGAATGTAGGTCCTAGAACCAATTTCTGTATTGGCGGACTAATCTTCCAGCTGGTGAACAAGCCAAAGCATGTCGAAACATTTTTGTAATAATTTCGTTTACCGAAATGAAGATTCTTATGGAAGGTAATTCGTTAATCGAAATTTCGTTAACCGAGGCGTTCGTTAACCGAGGGACCACTGTATATATATCAATGTTTTATGTAAAGAGGGTCCCTGCTATAGTTGTTTCACATTGATGCTGATCACTACTTGAGGAACACAACGTAAAAATTCCCATGCACTAACACTGTTTTGTAGTTTTTGACTCGGTCAACTTAGTTAAACAACATTGGAACTTCCATCTCCCGCACTGCACTTCTATCTTACATCATGTACCAGTGTCCTTCTCGACATTTCTCAATCCCATCATATTCTATCGCACTGTAAGTACTGGTTGAGTTTTGCATTCAGCACCAACTAATTGTTTCAGCTCACCATGTCCCATTGACAAAACCCAAATGTACCAAAGGAAAGACTATGTTTCGGAGGCTAAGTGGAGTATGGCTACAAATATTTACCTGTTTTATTGGGCCGAGGTTCTTCCGGTCTGTGACTGTGAGGGACACCACTCATAAAGTCAAGCACAGTAGATGTGTTGGCCTTGTGATCATGTACCAGCATCACACCACTTCTGCTTGATGAAAACATCATTTGTAAATTCAACAAAAAGAAAAAAAATGCATGAAATTAAGTTCACAAAAGGACACCCACTTTTTAGTGAATTGTAAACACTTTAAAGGAAATTTACAGCCAGCCTTATAAAATGCAAAACCAGTTGATTAAAAGTTCTTCACACTATTATAACTGATTTTGTGACCCCCAATAAACCACAAGCACATCTTTGTGTGATAATAATAATGTCGAACAACTTTTAAATTGGTCCATCTACAAATTAACACCTAAGATGTGTGTTGATATTATTATAATGAACTATTTCTATTTTCTTGGTTTGCTGACACTTTTCTTTCAACATACTCACCCTCCTGGTCCTACTGTGTGTGGATGAACAACAGCCATGCAGAGTATAGAGGCTATGGACACATCAACAGCACTACCGCCGCCCCTCATGACAGTGACGCCCACATGACTACATTCCTCCTCATCTGTAGCAACAGCTCCATGAGGGGTCACCTGGAATTGGCAAATGTCACTACACCAAACATTTAACATATCCTATTTAAAGCTAATTATATACAACCTTATTTGTGTTGCACGAGATATTTTTATTTTCCAATCGCCCATTCTCTATCACTGATTATGAATTGTTCTCTATCCATCATAAAAATCCTGCTGACTTAAAATATAATACTGTATCTACTAGAATCATGAGTGGACATGAGTTTTCTTGTTTTCCCTGACCTAGTAACTATATGGATACTTGGTGTCATTATAGGTAACTAGGTAAAACTAAGATCTCCATTCCTTGATGAAAACTATGAACAATGAATTGACTAAAGTCAGGACCTAGGTAATATGTAATAAACTGACCTTAAACCTCAAATAAAACACTACACAATCATTCATAGAAGGAAAAACTTACCTCTAGATTTGAACCCCAGGTACCTTCGTAATACAGTCCTCAAACGGGAAAAAAAAATACTAAATTCCTTGGGGTTATTGTTGATGATAAACTAAACTGGAGAAACCACATACAAGCCATCCAAAGAAATGTCAATAAACATTGCGGTATCCTGTATCACACTCATCAGTCACTCACTCTTACAGCAATGAACAAAATCTATCATGATCTTGTTTACCAACACTTGACACACTGTCACACACTATGGGGGACTCTGGCTCCACAAATACACAGCCCCTGATCACTACATAGAAGAGAGTTGTGCAGACAATGACTAACGAACAATCACTTGATTAATAATAATTATTTCCAGTTCTGGAATAATCAGAGATACAACTTAAGATACCCAGAGCTACTGAGACCACCCCCCATGCACTCCTCTAAGTCCCAGACCTCCATAATATATCATGGTGTGAAGGTGTGGAACAACTTATCCCCACCCATCCAAGCAAAGACTACGCTCCCATCTTTTAAATCATCTCTTAAAAAATATCTATTGTCTAAGTATTAATAGTCTTGTAATACCTACTTTATATTCCTGCTTATATTGTACCACCAAAACCATTATACTGTATCATAGGTTGTCAAGTAGATAGATAGATAGAAATTACCAAAGCAAAAATTATAGTTCCCGACTAGACATGATACTGACAGCTCTGTCCTCTTGCTTCACTTTAATACAACTCATGTTGTAATTCTTCCCTTACTTATCATATTAATATACAGTCAACCCTCACTTTACACGGTCCCACATACCGCGTTTCCACGTTTACGCGGTACCCTGCCAGAACCCGGGATGCTCACATTCCGCGGTGCGTGTACCCCTTTACGCGGGTGAAGTATAATTTTTTTTATTTAGCTCATAAAATTCATACAAATTATCCGGCCAAAATATAATTTACATTGCTGGAATTCTTACAATTTGATGATCATTTTGAATATAAGCATCATAGATTTTGCATTAGACACAAATTTTAGATCTAATGCAAGTATTTTGTTTACTCAGAGCAAATATGTTATCTTTTGTGCAAAATATATGAAGTGTATATTCAAAATATTCCTGGTCTTGCAAGGAATCCAGCAATGTCAATTATATTATACTAACTTTAGTCTGAGGTATTATTTATTACTAAAAGTTAAAATCTAGTTTTTTCACCCAACATTTCTCTGGTAGGGAGGGAAGGTGGGGGGTGGGGGGGGAGGGTTGGGACCAACCGACCATCTGGCGCGGTTGGAAGAGGGGGGAGGCAAGGTGGGGTACTTTGATTGACAGATAGTGTTGTGAAGAATATTTTTTTTTTATTAACTTTAGATATTTGTTTTAGCTCATAAAATTCATACAAATTACCCGGCCAGAATATAATTTACATTGCTGGAATTCTTACAATTTGATGCTCATTTTGAATATAAACATCATAGATTTTGCATTAGACATACAAATTTTAGATCTAATGTAAGTATTTTGTTTACTCTGAGTAAATATGTTATCTTTTGTGCAAAATATATGACATTTATATTCAAAATATTCCTGGTCTTACAAGGAATCCAGCAATGTCAATTATATTATCCTAACTTTAGTTTGAGGTATTATTTATTACTATACCTTAAAATCTAGTGGTTTTCCCCCAAAAATTTCTCGGAGAGGGAAGAGCCAGCGAGTGTAATGTGAGAAGAGGGGGAGGGAGTTGAGTCCATTATTTGAATGGACATTAACTTGGCGACTGTATTTCTCTTAAGTATTAATTGTGTGCATGTACCATCATAAAATTAAGATGTTATTTTTACTAGAACATAGGTATTGTGTCGGAAAAAGTGGAGTTTGGGGGTCAGCCGGTCTATTTCATTTAATCCCATATGTTATGTTGTTCACTTTACGTGTTTCTCGCTTTACGCGGGCCTCCGTGGGTTCAATTGACCGCGTAAAGTGAGGGTTCACTGTATATCAACTCCACTGTAACATACGGTGATAATCCCGTTAGCCGGAACAATTGGTGCAAAGCACTTCCGGGGACGAGAGATTTCCGGCTAACAAGACGACTTTCTCAAACCCGGAAAAATTCCTCATCCCCGGAACATTTTCCGGTTACTGGGAAAAGTTTCCGAGTATCTAAACTAGACCTCTTACACAGACACACACTCGCCCACTTCCCTCTGAATGTTTCTGGGTGCTGGATAATGTTTTCTTTGAGTTCAAACTACTGGAATCTGTAAATACAGTTCTAAATAAGTTAGAAACTTCATATCTTTACTATAATAATCCAGAATAGTTTATCTAAAAGTTTGGTTAAATAAATATATTTAAAAATTAAATATCTATAGGATATAGAAATGAATGAAGCTGTGTGTTAGAGCAAAGACTGTTATTTTCCACTCCCATGGAGCTGTGGGGGATTAGTGGGTCTCGAACTGACTTGACCTGATGCAATGTCAGGTGGAGGTAGGAAGGGGATTAGTGGTCTCATATTACTGATCTGATGGAATGTCAGGTCACCCTTTCTTGGGTGGGGGATTAGTGGGTCTCATGACCTGAAGATATCTTGAATAAACACGAAACCTAAAGTATTTTTAGAGAGATTTTGGTAGACCCTGCTGCCATATGACATCACAAAAATTGTGACCAACTCCCAGGTTGCTGATCTGACTTTCTGCTTCATTTACACACAGTGAACGAGTTGATGGTTCTGGGTAAACACAAGAAATACACTCTGCCACGTTCGTAGAGTGATATGGTATATATAATTTGCAATAAAAGTTACAGTCCTGCTATAATAGTTGAGATAATTTTATTTCTCTAGAAACAGGGCCGCCATTTCCAATGATGTCACCACCTAACCTGCAGACGACGCACGGATGGAAATACGAGTCAATTGAGAAGTATAATGACATTGTCTGGACTTTGTTCTGAGAATGCCTGGTGCTAGGTAAACACGACAACATAGTACTGTTATTGTTTTGATGATCCACTAATGAACCACTGGGATATATCATCATTTATATTAATTACTGGGTAAAATTTTACTTTAACTACCATAAGTATTTGGATGTTTAGAGTCGAGATAGGCTATATTTGGTAAATGTTAAGTTTTGGTCATCCCTGTACTTAGACATGCAGACTGTTTTTTTTTCTGATGGTTTGCGATATGTTATGAATGATTTAGACCTTCATTTCTATCGAAAATACTAGTTTTGAGTTACTACCCCCCCCCCCTTTTACTGATTTATGTTAAGCTAGCCTTATAACTTATAATATAATATAACTTATCATACCTAACCTAACATATAAACTGTATTTTCTTGTGCCATCGAAAAATGTTTTGCGACAGAAATCCCATAGATAACGTGTCTTATTGTTTAAAGTACTTAATTCCATACTTAGAATCTTAAGATTCCCCAGATGACCAAAACCAAAATAATACCAATATTGTTTGGAGTGTTTACACAGCTCCTCCCCGACTACGACCTGGTCAAATTATGTATTTTCGAGTCCCAAAATCAGTACACAGACAAAATTTTCGTTTGTAATTCACTTCAAAATGGATGGCAAGCTTTAAAGTGAGTGTTTTGTGGTGCTGAGAAGAAAAAGAGACACCCATTTTAGATTTTCTATGTTTTATTTAAGCATTTCCGACTTACGACCATTTCGACTTACGACCTGGATTTGGGTCCCTAACCCCGTCGTAAGTCGGGGAGGAGCTGTACTATGAAATTTGTAGTATGGGCAGCTAATATCCATATGTGTTTAGTTATATTTATATATTCAAAATAGTATTACTGTGTTGCACAGTAAAGCACAATTAATTTATCTAATAATATTTCATTACAGAGCCGATCAGCCGAGAAGATTGGACAACTTCTTCCAGGGTTCATCAAGGCAGATGAAAGACATTTACCAAAAGTAGATGTCTTTATGATTGTAGAGTATTATCAAGAACTCTGCCATCCAGCTATGAAGCACGTTAAATTACATCTGTCATCTGATTATCTGAAGCCCATTCCGTGGCCAAGGTCGTCCCTAGTCCTTCCACAACATTAAATATAGACATCAGTGACAAAAACTTACATTTTCCAGACATGAAATCAAGAACAGTGTTGAAAACTTCCATGTTGGAGTTATCGGTCTTTTGCATCATTTTGGCAACCAGCAAGTAAATACTGTACACACGATGATACAGTACTTGAGCAGTACAGGTAATTTATTTTAACCAAAACATAAGGTATGCCTGTATATATCAACTTAATACTCACATCAAAATGATCTTCACAACAGTAGATGCAGTACTATGACATGGGGAAGTGCTGTCGAGCAGCAAGACACCATCTCTTTCTTATCTTCTAATCTTTCGGTACTATGATGAATATTTTGCCTGGTGAGAATTTGTCGGTACTCTTGCACATTGGCACGGAGCACCAATGACTCTTTGTCCTTTGCTTGAACATTGTATATGGCCACAAGTCCTGTATTTCTGCTGGTAACAACACATACACCACAGACGGCTGCCTCCCCCAGCCAGTAACATCACAACCAATCATACAGTTTTTTGCAGCCAAGAGA